AATTGGCAATAGATGTATGTAGGGCATGCTGTTGAATGTTGGGCTGAGAGGACCCCAAGTTCAAGTCAGAAACAAGGAACAGAGAACAGAGGCCTATTTGAAATCAAGCTTCTACTCCCCTGGGAACCACATGGATCCTAGCAACACTGAACAAAGGGCTATAGACAAGTGATGGAGGATTCTGGACTGTAAGCCATTTTTCTACCTCTGGGCTGTGTATATTCAGACACTTTGCTGTCCTGAATTAGCATTGTCAGCCATGTCCATACATTATGCTCCCATGTGGGTAAATTACAAATACTGAGATTTTATGTTTCAGAAAGATTTTAGATTATATAATGAGTTTGTTATCAGCTCATGTGGCCTCTGTAAAAGGATGATCCAGAGATTGGGAAACTGTTCATCAACCAAAGGAGTCCGACCTACAGAAAAGAGACTGACACAAAGCGCAAGGTTGGGCAGTCAGAGCTCAAGTAGGATAACTCTTACAAATGACGTTTAGTTAGCCCAGTTAGGCGGAACCAACATCCTAGTGTGTATTCAGGTGAATTCCACATGGAGAACAGAATGATGTGACATTGCCACATTACTCAAAATCCCTCCACCCCCATACTTTGTCTTACACCATATAGTAGTCTTAGCAAGTTTCAGGATTTCTAAGGGAAAATGAAGGAGCTGAGAGACTGACTGTGTAAAAGATTATATCTGCCTATGGTTATGAAGAAGAGGAAGATGGAAAGAAAAAAATATATAGAAAGAGCCACAGATCTCCAGAACCTACAAAAAATACTTTTAGCAGAGTTTGAATGGCAGAGTTGAGAGAGAGGGGCCAGCTCTGTAGCCTGGTAGTTAAGGGAGTTGATCCCAGATGGCCAGTCACAGTTGTAATCTCACCCTTAGCTTGAAAAATATGCCAGGCATGTGCATGTATATGTGTGCCCCAAATTCCAAAAGGATGCAGAAGGGATTGCAGCATGACCATGCCCCACTGGGAAGAAGGTGTTCTCTCACTCTCTCTGGTGAGCATATGTTTTCTGGTAATTAAAAAAAAAAAAGTGGAGAGATGGTGGCAGGTGGTGTGGTGGTTAAGGGCACTGGACTCCCACATGGTCAACCGCAGTTCGAGTCCTGGACCTGGCAGCTTTCTCTCTCTCTCTCTCACCCCCACCCCAGTCAAATTTAAATAAATAAATAAATAAATAAATAAAGTTAAATTCTTTAAAAAATAGTGGTGAGAAACATATACTGATCCTTGGAGAAGGAAATAAAAAGGGAATTAGTAGTATGCACAGAAGGATCATTTGAATTTGAAATTCCTATTTCAACACCACTCATCTGGTTTTCTCACTTGCTAGTACGACCCAACATGCTGGCTAAGAAACACTTCTTCAGTTTCTTCTGTACACTTCTTGGTGATGAACACAATGTTCTTTTGAGAGACCTAAAATATAGACAATAGTGTACCACGTTGGTACCAAAATTTTATCAAAAAGTGAACAGTTTTGAACTCTCCTGAACTGTCATGTATCAGTATCAACATGTTATACTTCATATTTTGGTGATGCAATGCTCTAAGACACCCAGCTTAAGTAAAAAGAAGCTTCATGAACGCAGAGCCTCCTTTTTCCCTTTGCACGGAAAGGAGGACAACACTTTAATGTTAAATGGAGATGGAGTATCCCTTGGCCTCTGAGAGCAGCTGAACCCTATGGCCTAACAGCTAGAAAGCGACCAAGATCCATAAAGACTGAATGACAGACACACAAGCAGTTTCCTCTAAAAACAGACATTTGAAACATACTCTGTGCCTCGGCTCAGCTTTCATCCATTTTAAGGTTCTATATCCGTGTTCAGAAAGAGAGAACTTGAGTTCTTTGGGATAGAATGAAAAGATTTTCTTTTCACCAAACAGTGAGATTAGCTGAGTGATAAAGACATACTCCTTCTGTAGTTTCCTTCTCAATCGTTGTGGTGTCAGCAGATTTTATGGGAGGAGGTATGAGGGAATGGACAGGCTCACTACCCAAAGCGATATTTGGATGCAATTATGAGACTCCACTGGCACTGCTTTAGGATCTGCAAGTTGGAGCAAGTTGTCCTGCTCTTAGAAGACGGATTAACTCAACCAATTTCATCTAAATCAATTTGCACCGTTCAGATGATATGTTCATGAAGCAACCTAGTCTCTCTGATTTGCAGGAGTCCTTCCCAGACGTGGCCTTGCAAGGTACAGCACGCAGGATGAGAATCCTAGCAGTAATAAAAAGTAAATAGGAGGAACACAACCACCCTTTCATGTCCCTAATCTCTATCCCCGTACCACAAAGGACTTTCCTGTCCTAATCCTGGAGATGTTGAGTATGGAATTAGGCCTGAAATAATCAAAAGGCCAAAGTCCTGGGCCAAGTCTAGGATCTCAGCACAATCCACAGAGGCCTCTGCACATTCCAGGTGCTTAATAAATATTGTTGACTCACTGTTGCTAGATGCTAAGCATGCCTACATAGCCATGCCTAAAATTTTTATGCCACTTCTCATTAGAAATTAACTAACTGCCCCATATAGGATAAAAATGAGTGAGGTTGTTTTTCAATGAGTCTGAGTCAGAGTGATACAATTCAAGCCTCAACTTAAAATGATCACCATTATTCTGTATGCCTACTTGTGTGTATTTTTTCATTCAGTTGTACATGCATTGGAGAAAAAAAAAAAACCACATAAGTATGGTGATAGATTTAGCTCCCAGGGGGCCAATAATGGCAAATTAAAGTTTCCAGTAAACTAGGGTCTCTACTTACACCCAGTCAATCCACTAACTCAATAAAAAGCAAATGAAGTGCTTTCTTTGAAAAGTATAATGCTGAGGGTTTAATAGAACCCTTTCATCTTCAAAGGACCAAGCCAGGTCTCACAATACCCACTACACAATATTATGTCTTGTACACTGTGAAGGAAAGGTCATAGGAGTGTCCTAAAGCCATAAAGCCAATGCAACATCCAATTGGGGATGAGCTCTCTGATCTTCTTGGTTCCTGGACCTATATTTCAGGCACATAAATCAAGTTGTGAAGAATAATCGAGAGAAATCTAACTCACATTATACATCTGTAATAATTAATTGATTGGGCAGGAATAGATAAAATAATAAAGATTGTCCGCTTCAGGGCAGCGATGAGTGGGAGGAGGTAGAAAGAGAGATGGAGGAGAATAACCGTCTGGGGTAGAAAGAAATGACTCCCAAAACAAGAAAAGGAGGGGAGAGGAGCTCCCTATCCAGCAGTCCCTTCTATTGGAATATGGCCAGAGAACTGATTAGAGCACTGAGAGGGGACAGAAAAGGGTTAACGGCAGCCCTTATGCCCAACTTGAGAATCCGAAGAAACAATCTACAGTACAGTTTCTACAGAAGAAACAGACTACAGTAAGTGGCTATTTGCATTGTTTCCCGTATAGTCCTATATAAGGGCTCCTCCTCTGAGGAGCATCTAGCAGCAGCACACTCGGAAATCCTCAAAAATGCAAAGTGGTTGAGAAGCAAGAGGCCGCAAGGCTGGGAGGCTGCAAGTCACAGGTTGATGGGGAAAGGCTGGGGGTGGAGGAGCTCTGGTGGGAGACTTGGGTGGGCAAGTAAGTGTGACACAGGAAGGAGGTGAGTGATCTTGAAGGCACGTAAGGAGTGTGGGAAGGGAGAAAGAAAGTGGAGAGCTTAATGACCCCAGAATCCCAATTTCCTGCCCTAAGAAACGCCTCTGAAAAATAACGTGCTGCACACGAGATCACCTACACCTCGTCACCGGCACTGTTTCTGTACATCTACTCCGCCCTTATTAACTTAATTCTTACGAGCCAGGCACGGAAAAACCCCACCTCTCCCTGGTTTGGTCGCAATCTGTCCTGTGCACACATGTAAGTTTTCCCTCTCCCCCACAGAGCTGATTTCATGGCTAGGCCAGAAATAACGAACCACCCAGACGGAGACTCCAGGATCGCTCCCCTGGCAGAAAAGGGATTAAGTTTCGCCGGGCCGGGAGGCCCGACAGCGTGTCCGCAGCATCGCGGGCTGGCGCGCCAGCACCGCC